GTTGTGGAGAAAGAGGCGATCCCCCAAGACAGTTATCACAGACCAAGAACCGCAGTACCAAGAAGTCGAGCGCGAACGCGCCTACAGCCCAAAGCCCCCGAACTACATGGAGAGCCAGCGGGCGGCTGAAGCAGAAGCGAATCAAGTATTTGAGGCGCCATACGAGGATCCAGTTCACGAAGTGCCGACAGACGACCTTGCCAACCGGCACGAGCTGCCATGAGCCTGTAGGTAAAGGACTTCACAAAGGAGTCGGAGGGAGGTGGGAATAAATCGAAATTGTTCTTTTAAAGGCGTCGAGTCGCCATCACATATTACCACAACTGTAATCTAGTCAATAATCCGGACAGGAACTGGCGGAGTACGGCAATACAGTCTTGTTCAAAGAGCGATTGAACCGCGTGACTAGCTGCAGGTTTAGCTGGTCTCTAGGCACGACCACCTGGACCTTTCGGCGTGCTTCCCCGGAACTCCGAACACGACCGGCGAGAATGCCGATGACATGGAAGAGTGTAGTTCAGGACAACGAAGGATGATGAAGACGCGAAACCGCGGTCAATGAATGCTTTATACGTGTGTTAGAATGATTAGATTAAGATTTTCAAGAAGTGACCTTGTTTGTGTGTTGAGAGTCTTCCGGTGTCTTCGTATCGAGGAGTCGGTGAAAAGGCTCGGATTGTGAGGGACGACCTCGATGCGAGAGAGGTACGTATCTTTCACCCCCACTATGACGGGATCGGCCTGAAAGCCGGACGCGGGGTCCTTCGAGGCGCGGGGCAGTTCGCAACGCGAGGAGCTCATCGATGACAAAAGCTTGAACATAAGAGGCTCATATTCCCTTGCCCAAGATAGCCGGAGACTATCGCTACATTGCATTGAAACACTCCATCTACCAATCGTCTTCAAAATGTCTTCCTGGTCAGAGAAAAAGCCACAAAACCGGACCCTGCAGATTCTCGACGCTGCTACGAAAGGGCAATATGGCGTTCTCGGTGTCGTCATGTAAGCTCCCCGGCGTTGTTTAATGAGAGATGAAAAGGTCTAATCACAGTCCAGCTACAACATCGAGCAGCTTACTGCTGTAGTTAAAGCGGCCGAGGCAAAGAAATCGCCCATCCTGATTCTGCTGTTCCCCTCAGCTGTGACGCAGCTCCCCACTCTCGCGTGGGCCGTAGCAGCAGCCATCAAATCATCCAGCGTACCTATCGCATTGCACCTCGACCACGCCCAGGATGAGAATCAGATTAGAGAAATTGCCGGCAACTTGCCGTTCGATTCTATCATGGTCGACATGAGTCACTACGATCACGAAGAGAATTTGGCCAAGACTAAGGTTCTCACGCGCGTCTGCCATGACCACGGCATCGCTGTTGAGGCCGAGAGTGGACGCATCAACGGCGGCGAGGATGGCATCGCAGACACCGGTGACCTGGAGGGTAAAATACACAATTCTGTACTTTGAAAGAAACATCTAGCTGACTGGCTCCTGTAGCTCTTTTCACCAGCCCTGAGGAGGTGGAGGACTTTATCAATGCCGAGATCGACCTTTTGGCACCCAGTATCGGCAACATCCACGGCGACTACGGCCCTAAGGGTCCCCAGCTGGATTACGAGAGACTCGCCAAGGTCAACAAGCAAATCGACAACCGCGTGTTGATGGCGCTGCACGGGACGAACGACTTCTCCCCTGAAATCATGAAGCGCTGTATCGAGAACGGCGCAATCAAACTGAACGTGAACAAGCTCCTACTAGAGGCATGGAACGTCCATCTTAAGCAGAATGTGAACAAGCCGTTTACGCAACTGATTGAGGACGGCATAGAGATATTGCAAAAGGAGACCGAAAGGTGGATTGATATTTGTGGTAGTGGAGGCAAGGCGTAAGCTGGGCAGAGCATTCACTCCGGATTGAAGATAAGAGCAAAGAAACGAATAAAACGTACGTACCTACCTAGGCACCTATCCTGCCTATGAATATATGATTGAGACGACGATGACACTACAGAGAGGGAGAAGGCATTGGAAGATAAGAGAGATATTGGACAGACAGCAAAAAGAATACCATGCGGCCAGTGTGGATTGAACACACGACCTTCAGATTAAGTGAATGAAGTTAACTTCAGTCTGACGCTCTCCCAACTGAGCTATGTCCGCCGCTGGTTGTTGTTGTAGCTCATGGTCGTAATTGAGGATATGGATCATTGCTAGGGCTGCAAGCCCTACGGCGTTGGGCCCACTTCTTGCGACCAGATGGTCTCCATGGCCGGCCAAGCGACGTGGATGTAATCTTCGCTGGGTATCGGTTCCTTTCTTTCTTTGTAATAAATGGGTAACATCAAACTTCATGGGTTTTCCCGATAGTATGATCAAATGACTGACTTGGAACACAGATTGTTGACAGCGCAGTTATGGACGCAGTCTCCACAATTCGTGCCTTCAACCCATCCATGAGTCCATCAATATTAAGTCTTGAATACCACTCAGAGTAACTTTCAACACAGTAACTATTGACATGATCTTGAATCTTTGATTACTGATATTGTGGTGGGTTGATGATACCTTGCCCACGAGCTTCGCGAACAACTCTCTTCAATTCATCACGCACGCTGGCTCAACACGTACCCAAACGCCTCATCCAATATCCTCAATCCCTCGTCAATATCCTCTGGCGCAACAGTCACAGGAGGTGCCAATCGGAACACGCCACCCATACCAGGCAAGTTTACGATGTTGCAAGACAGACCCAGCTCCATGGCTCTGTCAGAGACAGCCTGTCCCAACTCCGACCCGGGGGCCTTCGTCTTCGCGTCTGAAATGATCTCAATACCTTGCAAGAGACCGCGACCGCGTACGTCCCCAATGCACCAGTATTTCTCCTGAAGCTTCAGCAGCCCCGCGCGCAGTTGCTCACCGCGCTCAGTAGCCTTCTGGCAGATGTTGTCGCGCACGACGATCTCAAGAACCTTGTTGCCGACGGCAGCGGTCAGGGGGTCGTTGAGATGCGTTGTGAGCCACAGGAAATTCGCATTTTTGCACCCTTGCGCGACATCTGCTGTGGTGCTGACTGATGCGAGGGGAAGTCCACATCCAAGGGTCTTGGACAGGCAAAGGATGTCGGGGACTGCGTCGTCGTGCTCGAAGGCAAACATCTGGCCTGTACGTCCGACACCAGTCTGAGCCTCGTCGAGAATAAAAAGCATGCCGCGCTTGTGGCACTCGTCGCGCAGGCGCCTCAAGTAGCCCTTGGGAAGATCGAGGATGCCACCGGTGGAGAGAATAGGCTCCATGATGAACGCAGCCAAGGATCCGACGCTTTGCCTGTCAATCATTGACCAACCAAAATCCATCTCGGTCTCCCAGTCATAACACCCGTCCGGCTTGCGGAAGATGGAGCGGTAGGCGTAGGGTGCGGGGAAGGCGAGTTGGCCGGGCATGGCGGGGCCGCCGTTCTTGCGGCCCGCGGAGTAGGTTGCGGAGCCGGAGCCGGATGTGAGACCGTGGTAGCTGGCGGACATGGCGACGATTTCGAACTTGCCGGTGTGGAGCTTGGCCATCTTGATTGCGGCCTCTGTTGTCTCCGATCCGGTGTTGAGGAAAAAGGACTATGACCTCAGTCAGTGACCATCACAAGTATGAAGGATGAGTCAAGATAACCTTCTCAAGAGGCGCGGGAAGAAGCTTGCCAAGTCTCTCAGCGAGATCAGCGACCGGCTGTGTGATCATGTTGCTGAGCAGGTGGTCCAGCTCAGCGACATACTTCTGAACGACTTCGACGATTTCAGGATGGGAGTGACCCAAAAGTGAGCTCATTTGGCCGGACGTGAAGTCCAAAATTTGGCGACCCTCCGCGTCGTACAACTTGGTACCCTTAGCTTTGGTGATAATAATGGGCGAGTATGGAACGCCCGTGGACATCAAGTACTTGTCGGTCTTGGCCCAGAAGGCCGCGGTACTTTCAGAAGCCATGATAAAGGAATGGTATCGATATGATGGTCTTTATGGAGAATGACCGAAGTGCCTTAAAGAGCTGCACAGAACAAATCAAGTCATCTTCTACGTTGAGTATTTATTCTCGTGATAAGAGTTCGAAGTCTCTATTAGTTTACCGCGGAAAGCGGGGCAATGCGGGGCCGGGCACCAGTTGCCCGTGGTGAACCATCTTAAACCCCGCGGAGCAAGCAAGATCGCGCATCGCTAAGTCTGCCTCGGAAAACCTAATCACTTATTCAGCATAATGGAACATAACTATTCAATGCCTCTGGCCGCTACTTCAACAGGAGTACACCGGTAATCCACAGTCAGAATGGCTCCGATACGTCGAAGAAGCCATTGGATAAACAGCGCAGCGATTGCAGACCGATTCAGAACTGACGGGGCATTCCCGCCTTGGGTCTGGTCTACGGAGGTCATCACAAGAAAAGACGAGAAAAGAAAGACAGAGAAACGATTAAAAAAAGGGTTTTTTTTCCGTCAGCCCTGAGCTGATACTTTGAAAATCCATCAGTTAACTTTGAACTTTGATTTCGCGGAGCGAACGTCCAGAACCTCCCGGGTTACTTCGCATCGCAGAGATTCATCATCAGCCTATGCCGAAAACTAGGTGTCACAATATGGCTTTACCTGTGATCCAAAAATTGGCCCACGCGATATTTGTCATGGAAAGGCACGCGGATTCCAAACGCTCCCCATATTGCTGTTGCGTGCAGATGGCAAACTATATCTGGTGTGGTACTGCATTTCTTTGACAATCAACAAAGCCGCTGCAGGGTGGTAATCACCAGGGTCAACGCAAATGACAGTCAGTGCCTGTGACATGTCTCAGGCGCCTGAGGCCGAGAACGTGCCCGCAGTTCTTCCCCGCCAACGCCGAAGTGCCTAGGAATGTAAAAAAATTCATCCATAAGGTATCAACAGATATTGCCACTTTGCTCCCATTTAAATGATTATTGATTGCATTTGAAACAACAAACTTATGGCTGTGAATAAATTGATTGCTCGCTATGCATTACGAAGAGTTGCATCAACTTGACCCCGACGGCGACGTCGAGCTCATTCTACGAAATCCAAATGCGCCTTTCGCCGTTTGGGATGAATCCGAAGATGCTGTTGTGCAGCACCTGAGCGCATGGTATGCTATTTGTATTTGAAATGTGAGGTTGCTCTAATTACTAATTAGATTACAGCGATCAAAAACTTTCGATCAAGGCAAGATACGCGTCGTATTTTCTCGACTGGTTCAGCAATGCGAAGCATGTGTCAACTTTCCCGCCGGAGCTGCTCAACATCAACAACCCTTTCGACGTGGACGGTTTTGGCGAGCCGGTTCTGTGCAAATTTCTTCTTTCCTCTCGACATCTCATGCTAGCCTCGTCCATATTCAACAAGCAACTTTCAGGCCCTTGGAAAGAGTCTCACAAAGACCCTGTGGAGCGGGTGCGACGCATTGACACAACGGAGTGGCATCTCGATGCTCTACTGATACTTTTCCAAATCATACACGGAAAGAACAGTCATGTTCCACGTTTTGTGGACCTCGAAATGTTGTCCAAGATAGCAACCTTAGTTGACTACTATGATTGCCACGAAGCTGTTCAACTGTATGGAGACATTTGGATCGACGGCATCAAAGACAACATTCCTAACCAATGCAACCGTGAACTGGTTCTGTGGATGCTGATGTCTTGGGTTTTCGCAAAAGAGAAAATCTTCAACCAAGTCACGAGAACGGCCATTCTTGATAGCAAAGGCCCTGTTCCCACACTCGGGCTGCCTATCCCTCAATTTATCATTGGTATGTTTTACTTTACACCAATGCATCCATCATCCATGATTATTGACAATCACAGACACAATTGAAATTCAAAGGAGAGCGCAGATAAGTCCGGTCGCTGCTCAGCTTCAAGATCTTCTTGACTCATTACGCCACGGCACAGTAGGCTGCAGCTTTGAGTGTTCTGCGATATTGCTGGGAGCACTAACGAAACAAATGCACTCTCATGATTTACTGGAACTTTCCTCGGACTCTGCGTATACGGGCTACGCGATCACAGGTACAGCGACTTCATTGCGTACCTTTCGTTCCCCAAGGTGGTCAACCTATATTTCTGGGGCCACCTGCAAAAGTCATCCTTGTAGACTCCCAGACAAGATTCTGACTGGTGCATGTTCGACTTTTGGTCAGAAGTGTGAAAGACTACATCTTAATGATATTCGACCTTGGATCTGCCAGCGTCCATCGGAATTAAGAAGAGCATCATAACAATCATGATACAAAATCTAATTGTAGCGGATCTAGCCGTAACATACGGATCCATGCAGCAGTCCGCCCCATATCGAGTTACTGTAGCATGAACAAAATTGTTATCGGAAGTTATTTACCAAATTCAAATCTGATAACCTGTTCAGGCTTTTCCCCGTGCCTACGGTCTTTGGGTTCTGACATTGCACTCAGCAGCGTCTATGTTACTGATAGGTATCATAAAACATAAGTACGTGTAAAACAAATTTTGATCGGGGCATCGTTCAATCTCTAAGCTATACCTTGGACTTTGCGGACAACAATTCGCATAAAAGAGGCTTCTTTTGCCATAGGGTGTAAACCTTCATTTTATTCCAGTCGAAAGATCCTTGGCTCAATCGAACATCGAAGTTTAGGAACAGAGATGCTAGAAGCTACATAGAATTAGCTTATATTTCTGAAGCAAATGACCAAGCGCTTTTGGTAAAAGGGTGGGTATGTTACAAACCAGACGAAGTTCATGCATAGCAAGATTCTTGAAAATGGATGTCAGCCCACGGTACTTGGCAAGTCATCAGGGCCCCAAACCTTTCCAATACAATTGAATGGTCCCATGAGAAATGGTTTAGCCATGTCTAATTGGTCGTCCTTGAATTCGGGATCGTGAAGCCATCGTTGCGGGTGGAACTCAAGAGCGTTCTTGAAGTAAAGTTCCTGGGTGTGTATAGACAGAAAGTGAATGCCAACAATCGTGCCGCCAGGTACCCATTCTCCCCCGACCCGTGCTCCTCCTTTTGGTATCACTCGAGGCAGGGCGACTGGAAGCGGTGGATGTAGACGAAGCTATACGTTCTCTGGGTCAGCGGAGTCAAGATGCGTATTAACAAGGTTTCAACACTCGAAGTATTCACTTACTCCTTCTTGAATCACTGCCTGCAAGTATGGCAGACTTGCTAAGGCCTCGAGTGACATGTGCTCAGATGTTGAAAACTTCGACCGCACCTCATTGGTGACTCTGTCTAAGTGATGTGGATTCCGAAGAAGGTAGAAGGTGATTGCAGATAGTGCTGATGCAATCGTGTCTGTTCCTGCTGTCATGAAGAGAAAGCCGTTGGCGTATTGCTCTTCCATGGTCAAGCATTCAGACTCCTTTTCCATCCCGAGAATTCTGGACCATAGGTCGGGATGCTCAGGGGTTCGCTTCAGTCGTCGTTCGACACGCTGAGGAACTCGTACAATCGGGAGAAATCTTTGGTGATCTCCATTTTATTTTGACCGCTATGAAACACAAAACTGTAGGCTGTGACTAGTTCAGCTGGAGAAACCTCCGAACTGCCCCATCTCGGCTCTTGGCCGATAATCAGACGACACAAAGCAGGGTATTCTCATCAAGATTTGTTTCTAGGTGCAGAGCGGCCTTTTTGGGTCTTTGAAACTTTGTCAACGCCGGCTGTACTACGCGCACCTCGAGAGAAAATTATCGGCCTGACACTCCGCCTATCTTGGCTTCTGGTCATGATTCACTCGGCTAGCCATACCTTCAGGTAGGGACCAATACGATCTATTGCCAAGCTTGGACTACGCAAGAGCGCCTCAGCATTCCTCATTTCCAATTGAGCATGCTAAGGCTCTGTGGAGCAGGCTGCGCATCCATATTTTGTATGCGAGCAACATAAACGTTCTTCCTTCAGCGCATCTTCATCGAATCAGACTGCTCAGTTACCTCCCAACAGGGTTCCAGTGTAGTTGAATATGGGAAGCCTCGCCGATGATATGAATAAATCAACGCCCGAGATACAAGTAAGAGAACTACAACCTTACTTTGGTGCCGAAATATCGGGGGTCAACCTGTCAACGCCTATCTCAGACGCCGTCTTTGAGAATATCGTTGCACTGTCCGCAAAGGTAGGACCGTCAATTCGGTTGCAACAATTTTCAAAAGAGAATGGATGCGACGTGTGGTTTGTTCCTTTGTGACTAACCAGCAACAGTACGGCGTGATCGTTTTTCGTAGCACTGGTCTTGATGACACCAGTCACGTCGAGCTCGCTCGCCGTTTTGGGCCCCTCTTTAGCATGAGAAATGTGCTTGGTGATACGGAAACACGACTGAAGACCCATGAGCTTGCTGATTTGAGCAACGTCGACCCGGACACAGGAGAGCCTGTCGCAGCCGAGGGACCTAAAGCGCAAATTGGCAAACTCGCATCCTTTTTCCATGCGGATCTTGCATACAATCAGCAGCGAGCCTCCTGGAGTCTTCTGAGAGCGCACGAAATCCCGCCGCCAGGGTACGGAGGCGACACTATCTTTGCTGATACTAGGACTGCCTTCGACGAGCTGGACGATGTGGAGAAGGGACTCAAGGAAAGACTGTTATCTAAGAATTACTTTGGCGTTCACTCGTGGCAGCATGCACAGAAAATCAGTAACCCCGATTTGTTTCACGATCTGGACCCCTCAGCATATCCTATGGCCAAGCACCAGCTTATAGAGTTGCACAAACCCTCTCACAGGATGAATCTCTACGTTGGGCTGTACATGCACCATATTGAATGCGCACCCGAGGAGGACGAAGAGATGGCAGAGCTCCAACAGAAGCTGCTGACACACGCCACCCAAGCCAAATACCAATTACCTGTGGAGTGGCATCATCCAGGTGACTTGGTAATATGGGACAATAGGTGAGTCGAAAATACCTACCAGCAACACGGCGCGCCTCAATACCCTAACGGTTACACCTTAACAGGACTGTATTACACAAAGCTGGTCCGGGAAGCTATGCTGGACGGTTCAGAAGGGACTTGAGACGCGCAACTGTGCTGGATACCTGAAATATCTTGCAGGTGCGGTACATAGCCTGAATATTGTGCTAGTAGTAGACCCTCAGAACATGAGATACGCCGTGATCACAGACGGTGCAGATGGCCATAAATGAAGTGTTCGAACTTCCAGCGCCTGCAATGAACAGCGAGGCGTGCAGATGGTCACTCATCAGTAAAGTACGTAGTGCAGCTGATAATCCAATACGTTTCCATCCTGGACTCGAAAACGGATAATGCAGCAGAAAGGGGAAGGATCCTAGCGAGAAATGATAGCGTTTATGAAATTGGTCTCGAGTAGCTACTAAACACGAATATTGGGGCGAGATAAATGAATCTATTGTCTGACGATGTCCTCAAGTAGTAAACTAAAACTTCTTCTATGATTCCAGGGCCTTCACTGATCGTTTTCACAGCGTCTCAAAAACGCCATCTCGCTGGCTAGACCAGGCCCGAAACTGACCGCCACTACGTGCTCGCTTCCTACACCCATATTCCTAAGCTGATCAAGCACGCAGATTGCCGTGGGGCTCCCAGTATTCCCCCTGGTTCTGTATATGTGTCGAGTTGCCCTGATCTGATGGTCATCCAAAGCCATGCTGTCCTTGACATTGTTGATGACCGATTCTCCTCCGGGATGAAGGGCCCAGTCGAAGTCGGAAATTTCGAGCTCAGGACGACCGACCTTCTCGCAGTATGACGGGAGAAGCTTATCCCATAGAGGACGGACTGACTGCTTGGCGATATCCGGGACTTGCTTGGAGATAATGCTGGTGAAGCCAGTTGTCTTTACCATGGCACCCATATGATGTATCGTTTCTGGTACGGTCATGCGCTCCCACTCAAGTAGCTGAAACTTGGCCTGAGTGAGGTCATCCAACCCATCATCGTTACACAACACAAAGGCGGATGCCGCATCGCCGAAGATGGCACCCGCAATGTCCATGTTTTCAATATCAGTAGCCAACTCAGCCTCTGCGTATTGGTGTCTCAGATACATAGTGCAGATCTCCGAGGCAAAGCAGAGGATACGGGCAGACCTCTTACGAGACGTCGCAGCCATGGCAATGTTGGCAGCCACGCGCATCAGGGCAACGCTGCCAGCACAGCCGACACCGTTCAGGAACATGTTCTCGACATGATAGCCCAGGCCCAGTCTGCGGGCCACCAGATAGTCGTAACCGGGGAGGCTCAGAGACCCTACGGTGACTCCTATCACATGCGTTATCTCCTCTGGGTCACCACCCCAGTCCCGCAAAGCCTTTCGACAGGCCTGCACTGTTAGGTCCACCCCGACCTTGCGGAATCGCGCATCTAGTTCATCAATGGTTGGGACCTCGGGTTGACAGCCAAATCCGGTCTCGAAGTCCATTGTCGATGCTCGTGTTTCGATTCCGCTGCTCATTGTGAGCTTCAGTAGTCTAGCAAGTCTGTTGTGAAAGCCGAAGTGTTAGCACTGGTAATGCCGGAATGGTAAGGACAGATGTATCTACACCGGCTTTTGGGTATCGTGAAATTCATTTGCCCACTTCACGAATGTCTCGGGTGGGATCAAGTATGGAGGATACTGCGAACCGATGCCAGTGATCCAAAGACCAGTAACGGGTGAGTGGGACAGTCCCTTGCCATGCCCACCGTTTTGCACATAGCCATTTTCCGTCTGGTGGTTCAAAGTCATTCTAGTCATGACAGTTCATGTGGTAAACAAGAGTAAATTTGGTTGCGCCAAACATCACACAACAGAAGGCAAGGCGATATGTTGACTCTTAGACATCTGAACAAATGGTCGCTGACTAGTATTCCGTATAGAGCTAAAATATGCAAATAGCCAGCACTGAACCCAAAGGCTAATTCTATTGATCAAACGAGGACGCGGGATGTATGAGTAATCTAAAAAGACAAGAAATGAATAGACTCGCTCGACCACAATTTACTGGCAATTCGTTCCAGAAGTCGGCTCTTGCCAAAATCTCCGAGTTTCACGCCTCATTGAAAGCTCCGAGTATGTTGATGTGATGGGCCAGCAGGGGTGATGTTTTGCAGGTTCCGGGTCACGGCACGGCGACGGGAGGGTCGGGATTTGAGAAGGACTGTCCTGTAAAGGAAATGATCCTGAAACACTGGGCTCAAAGTCTTCGAAGCCGACGAGAGCGAGTGCTTCGCTCTCGGATTCCATATCCCGTCGGCTCCGTCGACTCACTTTTGACCTTTATTTTCCGAGAACAGAGTCAGGGCCGTCGGCAATGTCACCGCGGTAAATCAGTCCGCTCCACCTCGCATTTTGAAGGTGTGCTTATTATGGCGATCGTCTAACAGATAGTCCATCACAGCCAAGTACCGCCGAATGAAAGTCATAGTCCTTGTTTTGCAAATCATAACATTTACCAAGAGCAGCCTTAGCAAAATAAAATGCTGTCAAATTTGTCAACCTATTACGGCGAAGAGTCGATACCAGGTCGCAGCGGCAGCCGTGACAGTGGTGTTGCTGTGAATGGTGTGGATGGCTACGACTCAACAGATAGCGGTTGCGGCAATCTTGGTGTTTCCCCTGGAGATAGAAACACGGTCGCTTTCGAGCCGGTTGCAATTTGCGGTATGGGAATGAGGCTTCCTGGGGGTGTGAATGACCCAGACGCCTTTTGGGACATGCTCATTAACAAGCGCGACGGGCGATGTCCGGTGCCGAAGGACCGCTATAATGCTGAGACATGGCATGCGGCAGGCAAGAAGAGGCATGTGCCTAGTGATCATGGCTACTTTTTGGATAGCAGCATCGATATCAAGAACGCCGATGCATCCTTCTGGTCAATGACCAAAAAAGAGCTGGAGATATTGGATCCTCAACAACGTTTAAGTCTGGAGGTTGTCTACGAAACACTTCAGAGGGCAGGTCAAAAGCCGTCGGAGCTCCGAGGAAGAAAGATTGGTGTTTGGGTTGGCAGCTTCGGCGGCGACCGGGCTGAGCTGGACGCTGCTGACCCACAGACCGTTCATCCCTACAACCTACTCAATGGCTTCGACTTTATGCCGGCAGATCGGATTCACTACGAGTTCGGCTTTATGGGCCCAAGTGTCACCGTTCGAACAGCTTGTAGCTCCTCACTGTTGGGGCTGCATCAAGCCTGCTATGCTCTGATCCATGGCGACTGCGAAGCAGCGGTTGTAGCTGGCACTAGCATCATATACTCTCCCACACTTACAGCCACGATGAACGATCATGGCGTTCTATCTCCTTCAGGTATATGCAAGACATTCGATGCTGAGGCAGACGGCTTTGTACGTGGAGAGGCCGTTGTCGCTGTTTACGTCAAGAGGCTCAGCGACGCGGTTCGAGACGGAGACCCAATCTGCTCAGTGGTTCTTTCTACAGCGAGCAACTCTAGTGGCAAGTCGTCCACTATGACGGCACCGAATCCAGATGCCCAGGAAGATTTGATCCGGAGAGCACATGAGGTCGCCGGCATCACGGACTATTCCAGGACGGCGATGATGGAGTGTCATGGGACAGGGACGCCAGTTGGCGATCCTCTCGAGTGCGAGGCCGTGGGACGCGTCTTCTGAGATCATGGCGGCATCTACATTGGCTCCGTGAAGACCAATATTGGGCACGTTGAAGGTGCCGCTGGCCTTGCCAGTGTCTTGAAGATGACGCTTGCTCTTCAAAACGACATGATTCCGCCAAATGCCAATTTCAAATCTCCGAACCCCAAGATCCCATTCGATCGCTACCAGCTAAAGGTTCCTACGCAAGCCATTCCTTGGCCCCAAGGGAAAGACAGAGTCGTCGGTGTCGGTTCGTACGGTGTCGGCGGCTCTAACGCTTACGCCCTCCTGGCCTCGGTCGACCACGTCAGGATCAAAGATGAAAGAATAAAGACGAAGGCAACGAAAACCCTTCCTGCAGTGGTACCAATTGGCTTGGAGCATCCTCAGCTTCTTATTTTCTCCGCCAAACACCCTCAGGCACTCGAGAAGATGGTGAAGCGCCATCAGGCTTACAATTTAGCCCATCCAGGCCGATTGAGAGACGTAGCGTATACCTTAGCAAAAACACGGGAGCTGTTGAGCTACCGCGCTTGTTGCGTGTCGAATGGTATTGATGACTTCCCAATACTCAAGCCGACTCGACATGGTTATTACGACCCTGCTCAATTGGTCTTCGTGTTCACGGGACAGGGCGCGCAATGAGCACAGATGGGGAAGTCCCTCGTGGAGAACATTCCATCATTCAAAATTTCATTGGAGGCGATGAACAATTTGTTGCAACACTTACCAGACAGTCCGACATGGAATTTAATAGGTATGTCAAGATCTCAAAGTCACATTCGAAAGCCTGGCGTGGTACAAATCATTGGCCAAGCTGACATGGCCTGAGAACACAGACGAGATAATGGCACGAAAAAGAACTTCCAGAATCAACAACGGGCAAATCTCGCAGGTTTGCTGCGCGGCGCTTCAATTATGTCTTGTCGACCTCTTACAGACATACAACATCAAGCCAGCAGCGGTGCTGGGTCACTCGTCTGGAGAAATCGCAGCTGCTTACGCCTGCGGGGCAATTAATCAACGCGAAGCCATCATTATTGCCTACTATCGTGGCAAAGTATTGGGGGCCTTAGATGAGTCAGTTGGTGGCATGGCGGCTATCGGGATGGGAAAAGCGCAGATCGCGCCACATCTACGGCCTGGAGTGTTAATCGGATGCGAAAACAGCCCGAACAGCGTCACCCTAACCGGAGATAAGACATCTCTCGATCTGGTTGTCACGGAGATAAAGAAGGCACATACGGATGTACTTGCCAGAGCTCTGCAGGTGGATAGGGCATATCACTCCCATCACATGCAGGCTGTTGCTTCACAATATCTCGGCCTTCTTCGGCCACATGTGCAGCCTCGTGACCCAAAGACGCCATTTTTCTCTAGTGTCACGAACCAGCTCATATGCAAGGGGCCTGAACTTGGTCCCGACTACTGGGTCCAGAACTTGGTGTCACCGGTTCTGTTCAATGGGGCTCTGAGCAAAGCATTGCACACCCTTGATTCGGAGAAGCTGTTCCTCGAGATCGGTCCGCACTCTGCCCTCGCAGGTCCTGTTCGACAGATCTTAGGGGCAGAGAAAGTCAACGCCGAGTACATCGCCACCCTCATCCGCGGTCAAGACTCTCACCAGGAACTCCTTCGTGCTGTGGGCGAGTTGTGGCTACGTAATCATCCGGTGGCCTTGGATCGCATGTTCGAGGAAGGAGACATCCTGACAGACCTCCCGTCATATCCTTGGCACTATGAAGGGCCACTGTGGCATGAGTCTAGGCTATCTGAAGAGTATCGTCTACGCAAGTTTCGGCATCATGAGCTCCTTGGCAGCAGGGTGTTACAAAGCACAAACACAAGCCCAGCTTGGCGAAACCTGCTACGTCTCGAGGATGTGCCTTGGATTTCGGAACATGAAGTTGAAGGGACCATCATCCTTCCAGGCGTCTCCTATTTGTGTATGGCTGGTGAGGCTGCTCGACAGCTCACTGGACAAACCAATTTCACATGCAAACAAGTTCACTTCAGTGCGGCTCTATCCATGACGTACGAGAGCCAGATGGAAGTCATTACTCAACTCAACCAAATACGTCTGGCCGACTCAATTGACTCGGATTGGTACGATTTCACTATTTCCAGCTACCAGAACGGAGGCTGGGTGAAGCACGCGTATGGAAGGGTCCGAGGTGACGGTGAAATGTCGGATAATAGTCTGGGACAGTGTCGTACTGAAGATTCCAGCAGAGTCTTCCCGAGGGTGTGCTCCTCCGCGTCATGGTATCGCAAGTTCAGGTCTCTTGGCCTTGAGTATGGTCCACGCTTCAGCGGCATGGACATAGCCGCCGATCCTACAACACCTCAGATCCAGGGAACGTTGAGACTTCAGCTACTACCGGGAGAGGAAAAGTACTATTCTGTCCATCCAGAGGCGTTGGGCCGTCTAGTGCAAAGCTTATATGTGGCCGCCGCCCAAGGTCTAACAAGAAATTGCAACTCCCTAGCAGTCATTGCTTACGTCGATGAGTTTGCCTTTATCGTGCCCCCAGAAGGAGCCAAAGAGCTGGAATTCTCAGCCAAAATCACGGAGCAGAGGCATGGGGCGTTTCTTGGCAGCGTTGACGCTACCGTGGACGGTGGTAGCGCAGTTGTGAGCTCCAAGGAATGGCAGCTATGTAGAATCAGCGGCTCTAACGACGCAAATGAGAATTCTAATCAATATGGAGCTGCGCAGCTTGAGTGGAGGGAAGACATTGAGTTCATTGATCCCTCTTGTCTGATCCGATCCGCGATAAACAGCACGAAGGCTGAGATTTATCGACTGCTTGACCGATTCAACATACTTTCCTTGACCCGAGCACTCGACAGCATACGCCACATTGATGGTCCTACACGTGAACACCTGACAAAATACCGCAAGTGGCTTGAAGACACCGTGGCTGGTTTTGCTTCTGGCTCTCTCAAATGCCCTGGAGTTGCAGACGCTGACCATCTCGTCAGTATGACTACAAAAGAGCGAGATGGCCTGCTTTCATCAATCTTCAAAGACCTGGAAAAAAGCGAGGTCCATGCTCCTGCAGCCGCTATTCATCGCGTCAGCTCTTCCTGTGAGGGAATCTTCAATGGTGATGTAAGCGAGCTTGAGCTTCTTCTGGCGGACGGCGTACTTCAAAACGTCTACAACTGCCTTCTTTTAGACACAGACTCTTCAAGCTTGTTATCCCTGATTGAACACAAGAAGCCGAATCTCCGGGTGCTGGAGATCGGGGCCGGAACCGGAGGTGCGACGGCAAGCACACTCCGGAGCTTGACATCGAGTCGTGGGCAGAGGATGTATCAGTCCTACACATACACTGATATATCCAGCGGCTTCTTCGCAGATGCAAAGAAGAGGTTCGAAGACTATGGAGGGATTGAATTCTCCATTCTTGACATCAGCAAAGATCCTTTGGAGCAGGGATTCCAGGCCGAGTCGTACGACCATGTTATCGCATGGAACGTTATACATGCCACACCAAACCTTCACGATTCGCTGAGTAATATAAGGAAATTGATACACCCTGAGGGGCGATTTCTTTTGCAAGAAATCTTTCCGATTACTCCCTGGATCAATCACTGCTTCGGCGTCATACCAGGCTGGTGGCTTGGCGAAGCTGATGGTCGCGTTTCCACGCCCCACGTCAGCTTTGAGAGATGGAAAAAAGATCTTTCGGACTCCGGATTCGGTGACATATCAAACAGTTTCGACGGTTATACGAACAACAACATATTTTGCCGGCCGTCACAGCCTGTGCCATCGTCTACACGAGTCACACTTCTAAAGCACAGGGGCCAAGATACTCAGCAGCTCCTCGAGAGTCTGCGGCGGGCTTCGTATGCAGTCGATGAATATACCTTGGAGGATTCGGAAGCGAGTCTAACCCCAGCGCAAGACGTCATATCGATACTAGATGTCGTTTCTCCCTTTTTCGCCAGTCTGACAGAGGAACGGTTTGCACACTTTCAGCGATTCGTCAAGAATGCTCATGATAGCGATAGTGGTATTTTGTGGCTTACTGGCCAATGTCAGGTTGGCGAAAAGATTCAATCCGAGTACGCTCCGCTCTTTGGCTTAGCTCGTGTTCTGCGGACAGAGCTTGGGCTTGACTTTGCCACTCTTGAGCTCGAAAGTCTCTCCCCGGCGGCCATCGCTCATGTTGTCCCGAGGGTATGCAATGAATTCGGGAAACGCGTCAAGAATGATCCGGATAGCAACCCGGAGTATGAATGGGCGGCTGTGGACGGCAAGATTCTGATAAGCCGTTATCACCATGTTAACCTGACAGCTGAGTCTCGAGTGCTTCCAGATAAAATGCGAGTGCGGAAGCTCGCGCAGCACAAGCCAGGATTAACTGACACACTGTATTGGAAGCCAATGATTGATCCAGTGCTCGACAAGGACGAAGTCAAAATCAAAGTGAAGGCCGTCGGCATGAACTATAAGGACGTTCTCATTGCTCAAAGTATTATCACCGACACAGCGGCCATTCAAGATGGGCTTGGTCTAGAATGTGCTGGCATCGTCTTGGAAGTAGGCCCCGATGTAGACCGTGTCAAGGTGGGCGATCGCGTCGTGGCCATATCTAGCGGGTCATTCACAAACATCAAAGTGACGTCCCAGCAGCTATGCTGCAGGATACCGGACCAGATGGGTTTCGAAGACGCTGCCGTGATTCCTGTTGCATACTGCACTGCTTTCCATGCGCTGTTCACCCAAGGTAAAGCAATCAAAGGAATGGTATGTAAAACCCTTCAATTTTATATGATCTTTCATCTTGAATATCACTAACGGTATGCGTGCGCAAAGAGTGTCTTATTAATCCACTCGGCTACGGGAGGTGTGGGCTTGGCGGCACTCCAGCTCGCCCAGATGCTGGAAGCTGACGTGAGTTGAACGTTTCATACAAGCCCTCACGATTTCAACCAAAACTGACAAATATCTCAATAGATTTACTGTACTGTCGGCAGTCAAAGCAAGAGAGACTTTCTGGTCAAGAAACTCGGAATTTCTCCCAGCAAGATTTTCAACTCCCGCGACTCATCATTTCTACCGGGTATTATGGCAGCCACAAAGGGACTAGGCGTTGACTTAGTCCTCAACCAACTATCAGGAGAGCTGCTCCACGCTTCCTGGCGGTGCGTGGCTGAATTTGGTACCTTTGTTGAGCTCGGCCGCCGGGACTTCCTTGGACATGCGAAGCTGGCCATGGACCAGTTTGAATCTAACCGAACCTTCTCTGGTGTTGATCTGGCACATCTCTGGGCCCGCAAGCCGCGATTTGTTGGGGATATGCTGGAGCGAGTTATAGATCTATGGACCCAGGGCCAGATTAAACCTTACATTGCTTCTACTTTCTCGGCCGCAGAAATTTTCCAGCCTTTCCGACAGATGCAACAGAGCCAGCACATAGGCAAGATCGTTGTCACATTGCCAGAAGAAGCTGATGCCCAGCTACTTCCCACCGAGCCCCTCCATAAGACGCTTGAACTACGGCATGATCGATCATACCTCTTTACTGGTGGTCTGGGCTCTTTGGGGACCGTCATTTCCTCCTGGCTTGTGGAAAAGGGGGCCAAGGAGATCATTTTCCTGTCTCGCTCTGCAGGCTGTCTGCCGAAACATGCCTCTGTAGCCACAGAGCTGGCATGTCTGGGTTGCAATGTCACATTTGTTTCCGGTAACGTCGCCAAATTGGACGACGTCGTTCGAGCAATCAAAATTGCCAAAATGCCTATCGGCGGGGTTCTGCACGCTGCTATGGCTCTTCAGGACGCCAGCTTTCTCAGTATGAGTTGGTCTGAGTGGCTTGCAGCATCGCAGCCGAAGATTGATGGAACTAGGAACATCCATTAGGCCTTGCTGGAGCAGCAGCCTGACGTTCTGCTTGACTTCTTCTTCTTGTTCAGCTCCACAGCAGCTACAGGAGGATGGTGGGGACAGGCCAACTATCATGCTGGAAATTCCTACATGGAGTCCTTCGCTCGTTACAGGCGAAATTTGGGATTAGCTGCAAGTGTGCTAAATGTGGGCTTCATCAGCGACGTCGGCTACGTAGCTGACCGACCTGAGGCAGCTGGCTTGGCCAAGGCAACAGGCCAATGGTTCAACACCGAGGTTGAGCTCCTGGACTGCATTGAGCAGATGCTGATGGAACCTACGACGGGGAGCAGTGCTTCAGCTGCCTCGTGCCAAGTACCTCCATCTCTATTGGCCATGGGTATGCGGTCCACCATGCCGCTTACATCGAAATCGTGCCGTGTTCCGTGGAAGAGAGATCGACGAACGCTTGCCCTTCGCAACCTGGACTCGGATGACAGCAATATTCCTTCCGGCTCAGACAGCATGACAAACGACGAGCTCAGCCACGCCATCCGAGAGCTCAGCTCTAACATCGTTTCGCTCCAATCAGGAGAGACCACAGAATTCCTAGCAACGCATATTGGGAAAACACTGTGCAAATTCCAGCTTAGACAAGACACCGACCTCGACTTCCAGGCTCCATTAACGGACCTCGGTCTAGATTCCCTAGTAGGAATAGAGGTGCGAGCCTGGATCAGGCAATGGATGGGCGTAGATCTGGCCACGCTCGAGATTACCGGTTCCAAAAACCTAGAGCAGCTTGCTACCGCGGTGCAAAAAAGGATGATTCAGAGATACAACTCTAAGACATGAGGCGCAAACACCCGCATGGGATAGGATTCAAAAGCTTTGCTTTCTGTACGTAAATAGTCTCGTCATAATACGAGGTCTGACGAGGCTTAGCCAACTTCCCTGGAAGCATGAACAATGTTGTCAGCTGGAGCTCTGTTGACACCGGCAGTGCCACCTGCACCTTCTGCCAGTGAGTCATCACAGTCAGTACTTCAAATTAGAAGTGGCAGATTACTTCCGATACACCCGATTCCATGTGTCAATTCAAATTTAATACGTTTTGCGTTATTTCAAGGACGGCAGCTGCACTGGCGGTTCCTGGACCACCAGTGGACTGTAGAACACCGTGCCCACCAACTCCAACGACAACCTCAGCTCTGTCAGTTGCTAAATGGCTTAGTGATACGTCAAGTTGCACATATACTTTCTTATGGGAAATCTGCGCTGCTAAACAAGTGCTCTCCTGGCTTTCGATGCTTGTGGGGGGCCCCTAACAATTCTGACCGCCTGCAGACAGTGCTTCCTGCGTCGTGGTGTAAGCTGAATACGTGATGTAATTCAGCTTGTTTCCGGGGTTGAGGTCACTCTGAGACGCATTTACATAGAAGAAGGATTTCAAATGCACTCATTGGATTCATTCAGTTAATATCACTATGCGAATCATATCAACAGAATCTACGTGGTGATGTGGAAGATGCTCTCAAAGCAAGTGCACCATCTCATCATGCTCCTCAATATGATCTTCCCTTCCACATCCGACAAAGTGGCAAAACTCTTGATTGAAATGACTAAGCTTGCTGTGGCACCTGATACTTCGTCCTGCCTGCGTGCAGTCCCTGATTCCACTTGCCTCTCCGAGGGCCTGGCGTGATCACCAAGTGGTCCAGGCATAGTGTCCTTACCCCGAAACGTTGTGTCGCACAAGTTTGAAACCCAATTTGATTCAAATTTTATGAACTAAATGAGATGGAGAGAGCGAGACAGCTTCTTGCTGATTTGCTGGTACCTCTGCTGGAGGCCGACCACCCCGCACGCAGCTGCGTTCAAAGTTCAGCGGGTCAAGAAACTCCATAGTCCATTTCCTCGTGCTGAAATAGAACCTGCTAGCCACAAGCCTCGCTGAATGTGAACATATTCCTATCATTCTCATGCATCATAGGTCTTTCTTTCAACATGATCGAAGGAGTCTCCCATAAGCTCGACCCCAATGGCGACATTTTACTCACTCTCCATCCGTCGACATCTCCGTTTGCGCCATGGGACGAGACAGCATCAGCAGCGACTAAAGTGAAAGGAGAACGCCTTACCTCATCGAATGGAAGGTTGCCCGATGTACACGTGACGTCCAAGGCTGAAAGCATAAAATATCTGTTATCGTCTCGGCACCTTGCTCTTGCCTCCCGCTACTTCGCATCAATGCTGAAATGGACCGGAAAGGAGGCTTCAACTAGAAAGATGGACGGTCTGCATCATGTGGATGCGTCTGGATGGGATGCTCAGGCGTTTCTCGTGGTGATGAAAGCGATACATGGAAAGTTCCGTGGCATTTCCCGTTGTGTTGATCTCGAAATGCTCGCCAAGGTCGCCGCGATCGTGGATTACTACGACTGCCATGAGAGCCTGGAACCACTCTCGACAATATGGATTGAAATGCTATCTAGAGCATCGCCTCCACCCAAGACATGCGATCGAGATTTACTCCTGTGGCTTCTAGTATCATTTGTTTTCCGGAACGAGGCCATATTTCAGCATGTCACCAAGACAACTATCCGGGAAACCAAAGGGCTGCTCCCATCTCTGGATCGACTTCCCATTCGATCGTCCATAACGGGTGAGGATTCCAGAAATTCGGGGTTTCGGCAGGTCCTTAGACTAACCTTCAACGATGCAGACGCAATCGACCAGCGTCGCGAAGACATCATTAAACGAATTTTACAAATGCTGGAAAATCAAGCTGACCGGTTTCGAAACGGCTCGTCCGGATGCAAATTCGAGTGCTCGGCGACCCTTCTGGGGCTCTTGGTGAAAAACATGGCTGAGCATGGATTGAGCCACCCAACGCCGTCTCCACCCTATACGGGATACAGCGTGACAGGGCTCGAAAGGTCTATTAGTGCCTTCAAGAACCCACCATCTTGCTGCCCTTTGAGTCCATTCATTGTACCTGCTAGAATAGAAAAGTACGACAATATCATAGCGGGGCTAGAGATGAAAGAATTTCTCAACGACGAAGACATCGCAGTCAGCTAGGGTAAGGTCGTCACAATGAGCAGGTCAAAATGTGGTTCGGTGCCTGTTGCCTTTTGCCAACACTTGTCATGCTGGGCTGTTCCCACGGCGGAGTACTCAGAAGTAGTAGTTTCGGCTGGGGGGATTTGTATTTGCAAAAGAGTGGGTTATTCCAGCGCATCTAAAGGAACGGGCTCCCCAAAGCCTTCTACCTATGGTGACATCTCATCTCTGAATGAGTGAATGATACTATTCCATGATCCACACTCGACCTAAGAAGATGTCTAAGCCTTGATGGCAGAACTCTGCAGCTTCAAACGACGGAAACCTCCACGGCAAGCAACATCGCTCTGAAGCTCAACCATTCTCTTCTGGTCCCCGGTAGGGTCCTCCGAATCAGCGTCAAGACCCCATCCTAGGAACTGGTTGGTGTAGTTGGGCTGGAAGCTCTCATCCAAAACACCAAGCCTCTTGCCGTACTTGGTGACCTTAGTCCAGTCACGCTGGACGTTCTTCAGGTCATGCGAGAAGTACGCGAAGCTGCGCTCGAAGATCTTGCGGTTGAGGTCGGAGCCCATGACCGGCTTGAAGTCAACATACTCCTTCCAAGCCTCCTCAGGCTTCTCCAGGACGTAGTCGGTGGCCTGCTTGACAGCTTTCATGAACTTGCGAACCTTTTCAGGGTTCTCAGCAATGAAGGACTCGTTGCCGATGTAGAGGATTGTGCAGAAGCAGCAGCATCCGAGCTCGGCGAGCTCGTCGATACGGAGCATCTGGACGTCGGTCTTGGGGCGACCCTGGGCGGCGAGCCACTCCTCAAGCTCGACCATCTGGACGTTCTCCAGACCAATGCCGGCATCGATGGTGCCCTCGATGATGGCCTTGGAGACGTTCATGCCGCAGCGCACGGCGGTGTAGTCGTCGGGGGTCATGCCGTAGTGCGAGGTCAGCTCGTCGATCTGAATCTTGCCGAACTCGCCGACATAGCCGATGCGCTTGCCCTTGAGGGTGCGGAAGTCGGTGGTGATGCCGGAGTCCTTCAAGTAGACGACGCCGGTGAAGGGCTCGTCAAGGAGGCTGCCGATTGAGAGGACTGGGAAGTTGCGGGCCTTGGCCTGTTGAGTTGAGGAATTAGTCAATAGTCGATCCGGCAGGGTGTTTTGAGAGGCACCTACAGCGAGGGTGTGAATCATGGCCTTGAAGCCAAGGTCGACCTTTCCAGTGCCGATAATCTCGGTGACATCCTGTATGAGTTAGTGATAATCCGGAACGAAGAACTCATCGACGACGTACGCTAGGGTCGTTGGGCTCAAGCAGAGCGACCTTGATGCCCTCGTCCTTGAAGTATCCCTTGGCCTGGGCCAGGTACAGGGGGGCGTGGTACGGGGTGGCGTGCCTGACCCAATGTCAACTTACATTCGCAGCATGCACGCGGGCATTCCTACCAGTTGGTGAGGAAGGTGATCTTATCAGTCGACATTTTGATAGATCAAGCGTGATGCTGCACGGGTTAGTTCACTCCCATTCTCTCAAGTGCAGGGCGGCAGGGAAGCCAAAGAAGCAAGTCCTTTCGCTGGTATTATCCAGATCAAGTTCGCCGGTATTTCTCAGATTAACTCCCTGTCGTGCCCTTCCATGTCGGCGCTGCTTACGATCGAATCGAGATATCGAGGGAGACCGGCGTGGAAGTGTGTGGCACGGCAGATGAGTCAAACACCCGGATGCGTTCTTCTCTTACTTTACCTCGATCTGTAGATGTTTCCATTGCGATAGATGCCATGGCTCTCTGACGCTGACGCGAGCGCCGTACCGGGTCAAGTATAATTGGTGTCGGTTTTTGCAATTGCGTTTGTTGCAACAATATGAATTATTGCGAGAGGAAGAGGACAACGACGAGGGAGTTGCAGTTCATATATGCCGCGTTGGAGGGGTAGCTTCCTCAACAATTCACCCTGCGCGTGTTTCCCCTCATTTGGTCGAAGCTAATCATGCATTTCGGCCTGAGTTCCGGTTTACCGACCGAAGACGTTCGTCATTGACGGAGACTTCCAATGCGAAGAAATAGCTCTTCTTCTAGTCGTCCATTGGCTCCCAAAAGGGCGGGCAGGGATAAATAGAGTGTTCTGACATCAATCATGCCCCTTTGCTGCGTCAATTGATGAGCATTTAAGCCGCCGGTCGACATGAGATTGTGTCACAAAAGTGGCTCACCAATCCTCTAGTGTTAAAATCAAGCGACACAAGATCACAGGAAATTTGATTCGTCGAGCGAAGTAAATCGATTGCTAAAAAGCCTCAAGATCCACCAAAGACCGGCATGATCTGACTGTTTCTCAGCGGAAACATCGGGGCGGACCGGACGACTCCGCGAATGACCTCCGGGATCGGAAGCTGACAACCGATCGGGCCCACTCGGAGCCGGCTTGTGCCGATGGTTGCCGCTCGCCGGCGGCATTGTCAATTAAAGTTACTCCGCGATCTCATAAGCACAATCTGTTTTGCAAGAAGCTGCAAGTCAATTAATTGATTCTCGAATGATTCGCTATAACTACGCTGGAAATCCACTGCTTGTACTGTTGTTCCTGTTGCCCTTTACTTCACTGGCGTTGATCCTCGACTTGTGTGTTGAGCGTTCATCTCAATCATCCCCGCCTCATTTCTTGCGTGGAACATTTGCTCCTCCATGTGCAGGTCATAGATGCCTGCGTCTTTTGACACCAAAGTGTCTCTGTAGATCCACTTGCTGCCCTTTGCCCCCTCCGTGGTCAGCCCTTTCTCAAGAGCTTCCTCGTTCGCCCTCCTATCTTGGATTGCCATGGACCTCATGACTTGCGCCATCTCAACAGCGCCGCCGTCAGGAACCACAACCCGGTTCGCTACCAAGGCCGCCGCAAGACCCAACGCCAGCTGTAATACAGCTGTCAGGAGCAAAATCATGTGGATCATATTCCAGTGAGAAACGTTGAGCTTCGTGCCTTTCATCGGCATCGTACCCTCCAGGGTAAGCGAGGGGTTGTTCAGCGCAGCAATGGCTACAACGCCGATCGTGAAGCGGTTCAAGATCATCTGCATGACTTGATTGGTGCCGTTCATGGGCGTTCCGAAGATAGACTCCGCAGGATACGTCTGGTACTGGAAGTTGGTGTCGTTGGCAAGGGACGAGGCAGCATATCCCTGCAGCGCAATGGCTGCTGTGGCCAGCTCCGTGAGATTGTTGCCGACTTGGTGTTCCGGCAGCGTGGCGTTTGCCACTTCGTGGACCGAGACGTTGCAGCTGTAATACCATGGAGAGGTAGCCGATGCCTCGAAGACGGAGACGATGCTGCATCCCGGCCCGCAGTCGAATTGGGAGTTTGTCATGAATGTCGACTGATCGCTACCGCCGGGGACGGGGATGTAGAGATCGTAGGTGTTGCCGTTGTCGAGGGCAACGGTGACATTCGTGGTATTGCCACTGCCACCGCTGATGACCGGCCAGGATGTGCACGATGATGTAACGTTGATACTTCGGTTGGTGCACACGGTCATGGGGTTCGTATCGTCATCTTTGATGGATGAAGTGGAGGTTTCGTGGAAGACGTATTTGCAGAGGTTCTCGTCGCAGAACATGAGAGGATCGCTTTCGACGTAGATGGCTCTTGCCGATGGCACTTTCTCCATGGATGCCGAGTCATATGCCAGAGATATTGTGCCATAACTAGGGGATGAGGTTAGCCTGCGCAGTTGACGTAGACTTCTAGTGACGTACCTGTTGGCGGTGTACTGCAAAGCACCGAGTCCCTGCCTGTTTGCTTTGACGACTTTGTCGGTTCCGATTGTTGTCATGTCAGGAATAGTCACATTTCCGGGAACGAGCAAGGCTTGCTTGTCTGCGGTATCAGTCGAGTAACAGAGGCCGATTGCTGCAAGACCAATTTGAGAACCCTAGGAGAGTCAGTGATAGCGACCGCAAATGCCAACCAGACAGCATACAATTGACAGTATGAGCCAACCAGTGGCCGCCATGTGAATGGACCAACGCTTCGATCGAACCGCCAACATGATTGTGTGCTTCAAGTTATCCGCGGCAAGAATTCGCTCAACCTATCACCCCGCGTCAGCAATCTGCCTTGTCACACCATACCTCACTTCTCAAACTCGCAGACCTACCTTGCTCTTGGAACGATACCGTCGACTCAGAATCCACCACCTCAACTCTGCCACCATATGGTTCAGACTACTGGCCACAGCAATACCCAAGGCAATAGAGAGGCCAGTGATGAGGGCGTTATACTGTCGCTTCGTGGTCTGGCTCATGACGGGCTTGCTTGAGTAGACCCAGATCACGACGTATATCGAGATGATTACCGCCATTGTGATGCCCCACCGCGATAGCACCTTTGCTATGACTTTCCATCGTGTTTGGCGTTTCGCTGGCAGCCCGTGGAACGGTCCATCGTCTGTCTTCTTACGGAGAATCGCGGCGTCCTCGCTGTAGTTGTAATCCTGGGTGGGAGAGGAGACCTCGGCTGGACAAAGGTTAGCGTCGTTGATTAAAATCGATTTCTTGTTGGGTCAGGCACTTACTCTTTACCCTTCGAAGTGAGCTAGGCATCTTGCCTCGTGAGCCTCGGCTTGCGAGCTAGCAACAAGTCCAGTGGTGAAGTGGGCGAAGTCGGAGAGATATCAGCCTGCTTCATGAGGGGTAACTTGAGCCGGTATATGAACGAAGGGAAGATGACCTTAAAGACTGGAGACCACAAGGTTCTCATCTTGAACGAAGGGTCGGTCGACACTAACAGCCTTTTAAAGCCCCGTAGCCACTTCGGCGAAGGGTGGATACAAACCCCAGGATGGCACCTCAGCTCTCGATTCGGTGCGATGGTGAATCGCATATCAACAGGCCTCCCGGTTGACCCGATGGAGCCAGTGAATCAAAGAGCCATCGCCGCCCCCACCGGACACGCTGTTGCTGACATTCCACCAAGACTTCCAAGAAGACTCCAAGAAACCACAGGCATTCTGGGGAGAAATGCAGACGCGCAATCCAAGACAAGTACCTGACCGTCAGGCACCGATCCTCGAGGCCTCCAAAACAATCATCATCCAACAAACCTGCACGAATAGCAAGAGCGTTTGGCTGGGCAAACAGTCAGGAGTAACAATCTCCCCTCCAAAAAACAACAACGACAGTGGACACAGAGTGACAAAAACACCCAAGCGCTCGGGACGCCCCGTGCAAGTCAAGGTGCCCTGGGTCACGACTCATGCACGTCAGGGGGCGGTCCAGGGCTGATGGTCGCTGATTCTCGCTGACATAACCCTGTAGGGCTCGAAAACGGCCAGCCCGAAATGACATCTTGGGGGATTTAGGGGCAAGCTGCAGGCGGAGCTCTGTGATGTCCAGGTGCCATGGTGGAAAGACTGCCCGATAGAGGTAAGATAGCCCGTCCCAGTCTCCATTTGCAGACATTCGCCGATGAGTCTAAGTTTTGCAGATTTCACTTAGATGGTGGCCGGGTGTCTTGGCTTTCCATGCTAAGAGCGTCCCAGCAGCACGCGATCACCTCCAAATGGGTGGCAAGAGGTGTCAACATCTCATTCTCTAGCATCTTCAACAAAATGTCCAGCATCAAGCGACATTCCTTCTTATCATTAAGCTTGAAAGTCAACATTCCGCCTTGAGGGACGTCAACGTGCCTGGGGGTTGAAAAGATGAGACAGGCAATGGGCCCAGCTGGACCGCCGGTGTTAAGAATCAGTGGTCAGCCGCAAAACTGCAAGCCTCCTGTGCCTCCCGTGGGCCCCCAGCAAGCAACGTTCAAAAACAGGTCTAAGACAGGGGATCTTGTCACGGCACGGTTTGCCGTCCCACCATTTCCACCGTTCGGATGAGCAAGTGCGGGAACCAGGAGGCCGGTGCGCGAAGCTCGCGAAGCTCAATGCGGACGCGTGCGCTGCCCGCGCGTCCCGTTCACAGGGTTGGGCCTGAATAGAGTTAGCCTTACGGGGTCGGCAGTTGAGACGCACAACAGCTTTTTGATGATGCCACACTGAACAATTTCTTGAGCCGCGCGAAATCTTTTGGGGTTGATTCCTACCGACATATCCTGTCGCCAGGTACCTAGTGACGACAGTAGATGCCAGCTAACTCATTCCATGGAGGCTCAAGCAGAAATCTTCGTCAGCAGCATTCATCCGAGAATTTGGCGATGGGAATAGATGAAACTCATGGCTGGGAACCTTAGTGGTATAAAGATAAGAATGGAATCACAACACGGTAGGAACCGTATATGGAGCATTTCTGTGTTCAAAGAAAAGACCACATTCCTGAAACTGTGACTACCGGGGAACCCGCGATGTTGGCCCCGGAGCATCGTCTTCTCAACTGTCAAGTCTGCGGAAGAGTGGACCGCAACGGGACTTCGGAGTGTTTCGCGGATGCTCCCATGGAATGGATACCCAAATTCTCCGTGAACATATTTAAGAACAACAGCGTATCATGAATGATTATTCTAGGATTACTCGTCATTCGATTCTCTCCCTTCTGACCGGTTGGCATCCGGTGGCCCCACGTTCGGCAAACCGGCCGATCCAGCACCTTGGCGGTGCCCAAGCTGAATGACACTTTGCCTGCCAACAAGAAAAAAATGCTCGCCACAAAGTCTTGGGCTCTCCACACACAGATAACGCGTTCTCAAGATTCTTCTTTCTTGCAATGCAGACAAGGCGGAGCGTGGAACAAGTGGCCGCGTCTCTTCCTGACATAGGAGGCATACAGCCCGCCGGCGGCGTAGATTGCCCCGACACTCATGAGTATAGGCCACTGGAACTGGTCAGGCCGAGAAAAGGCGACGGTAGCTGCATATGACAGGAGCTCAAAAATGCTCTGCATCGAGGCCTCAACGGTGGAGAAAGCGCCGCGATACTCCTCGTCGACATCCTGGTTCAAAGTCAGCGTTGCTTCATGCTGGTAGGAGGAGTGGTTATGCTTACCCCTTGGATAATAGTCTGGGCAGACAAGTCGTAGCCCCAAAGTCCGACTCTACTCAGGATTACACCGCCAACGAGTCCGCTGACGGCTTCGATGCTGCTACTTCTGTTCTGAGACTTGTCCGCGAAGAACCAGCTTACTCCAGCAGCAAGCCAGATCATCTGCCACGAGAGACACCAGATGCCGGCGCGGATGGGACCGATCTTGTCCATCAGCTTGGGCGCGGCCCACGTCGCGCTGAGTTCGAAGACTGTGCTGATAGTCCGAGCGATACCGATGTGGAAGGAGTTGTAACCGACGGAGAGCAAGAAGGTGATCATCTGTCCGGAGAAGGAGAGTACGGTGAAGTAGAGCAGTGCAAGGGACAGCGAAGGCCGGAGGGCTGGATGCGAGAAGTAGAACGGGATCGCTGAGACGGGGAAGACTGTCTGGATCTTGGACTTCAGCCAACTGGTAGTCTGTTGCGTCCGCGGTACGTCCGCATCTTCAGGCCCATCTGAATCTGAGTCGGCCGGCGTTGCTGGCTGGGATTTGGGCCGGAGCTGTGCCAGGGCTGGCACGAGTTGATAAACCTGCATCCAGTATGAGCATTTCCGGTGTGAAAATACAGTATTTGATATGCTTACTCTAGCGATGCACAAATACTCGGTTACGACGGACAGAAGAGTCATCGCAAGAGTCACCCAGATGGCAATGGTAGTTGATGCACCATCAATCAGCGAGATTGCGAGGGGGCCAATCAGCTTGCAGAACAAGTCAATACGTCGGATTCGGGCGTTCAATTCTATTCTTCATATCAGTTGTGGCACGCGATCATATTTCTGGGCTCGAGACTCACCTTGTCGAGCCTTCTCATTGCCTTCGGTGATGACCACCACCTATCACCAGTGAGCCGACGCATGCAGGAGAAACAGTGGGCTAATTGACTTACCCAGTCACGTTCGACAGATACCAAGTTCATCACAGAACACAACTTCTCAACACAAGCCAGTCCTACCACCATCGCGAAGAGGCTATTCTGGAGGTCGCTTTGCAGGTCGCGCAGCCTCTCGAGCACGAGGAAGATACCACAGGACATGGCAACCGAAAGCCTCTGCCCGACAATCGAGATGCGGACCACCGACAGGCGGTTGCCGCCATCAATCCACGATCCAATAGACGGAGACAAAATGACCGCAAAGACTCCTCGGACGAGCGCGTAGATGGACATAGGCATCAGCGTCCCAGGGTAAATCGACGCGAGAAACAGGACCGCGCCGAATTCGAACAGGCGGGAGTTCCACGTCGATAGAAAATGCGAAACATACAGGCGGAAGACCACCGGTTTCGAGACTGAAGGAGACGCTGGTGTCGGGTCGTGCTGGGGCGCCATCATCATCGCCTCCTCGTCGCGGTAGCCCTCCGGGCGTGGCCGGTCGGAGATCGGCTCATCGTGGTAGGAGTCTTCCGAGAATGACGATCTCGGCGAGTCTTCGTAGTCGGTCTCGTAGCCGTCATTGTCCGCCGCCAGCGCGGCCGTCTCTGCGTCCATTGCAGTCGCGGTTGATCAACGCTCAACGCTCAAATGGCTGGGGATCCGAGGGCGCGCGACGGTCGGAGCGACATTTTAATGATTCAGTGACCGCTCCGGCCTCAAGATCGGACCACTCGGACGTAACGTTTGCCGGGGATGAATGCAGGGGTACACTCAAATGCCGGGAGGCTGGGCCTGAGCAGATCGAACCCTCTCCAATTGCGTGTTTTGTCGCGCAGAACGTAGAGAATGTATTTCTCCCTTGGCCACTTTGAGGATGGATTAACTTGAGTCTCTGGGTGGGCTTACGCCTGAGAAATCGATGAAAATCATCGGGCATTGATAGCGCCTGGCTTCTCAGATTGATCGGCAAATCACAGATGGCCCCGACCGAATGGCAGCACTCTGCTCCGGAAGAAGATGAGGAAGATGGTCAAGTTATTCAGTCGCTAATAGTGTTCTTTTCAATTAGCTTTGTGTGAACATGTGCTATCGATGTTGTAAGATCAGAGAGAGTCGGGTCAGCATCTGAGATCCTGTTATGAACACAGCATTGCTGGAACTTTCCACAGGGATGGATTCGATCGCTCAAGGTCAGAAACCAGCCCAACTGAGGAACTACCAACGTATTCCCGTCATCGGGCTTACTACTACTCAACCTGGTGCTGTTTCTCTGAATCAATCACTGTGATCAAGTCCATCCCTATCTGTCCGAGGACGCGCATCGACAACCGGTTAATCAAATAAACCAGAGAAAGCCCCTATGATCTGCTCAGCCAAATGCCCCGCTATCGGAGCTGCCCCGACCGCTAAAACTCCTACGGAACCGCGAAAGAACCGATTCAAGGTCCGCTTTTCCCTCGGAGACCGAACTAGGCTTTAAACTATTTATAGATACTTATATAGGTATATACCTATATAATCTATAGGTTATAGAGGGGTACCTAAGTGGGTACTAAGTAAGTATAAGTATTAAATAAGATTTTAATATTTAGGTATTAAGTATATAAGTATAGTAAGAACTATAATTTAAGTTCTAAGTAAAGGTTTATTTAATAAATATAATATACTAAGATAAATTTAAAGAGGAGTTAAGGCTTAAATTAAA